CCCCAACTGCAACCCTGCGTCTATACGTCACCTGAGGAGTCAGCAAGGCCCAAACACACCTGAAGGAAGCTGTAGCCCCCTGCTTGGGCCCCATCACAGCTGCTTCCTTCCCCCACATCCTCTTTCCTAGTTCCCCAGGATGTGGCAGATGCCAGGGAGGAAGAACACAGTAGCATGTGGCTGGGGGGGCTGTCTCACCTCTCACCACCAAATCCAGGCTCCTGCTGACAGCAGACCCTTTCAGTGAACTGTTCCTGCTGTTTTTCAGCTGTAGCGGCCCTCATTGCCTTTATGCACATGGGAGAGGTTGAAATAATCTTGGTCCTTTGGGATTAAGGCGACGGTGACCTGGCCCTCCAGGTACAGGAAACAGCCGGCATTGGCGTGTGCGATGGTGCAACGGAACATTACATAAGCTCCTGCAGCCACCTCATGGCCAGGCTGGACAGAGAGGACAGGTTTGGGGAGATGGAACTCTGTGGGGAGAGGAGAGGGCATGAGAAGGTGTGCAGAGCGATGACACGGTGCTGGCAGCCACCAGCATCTCCATGACCTCCCACCACCTGGCTCAGGCAGAGGTGAAGATGGCCCCCACCTCTCCAGCCAGGGAAGAGGGGGAAAACCTCAGCCTTGAGCAAAGGAGACTCCAAGGGGATCTCATCACTGTCTATCAGTATTTAAAGGGTGGCTACAAAGAGGATGGAAACTCCTTTTTCACAAGGAGTCACATGGAAAAGACAAGGGGTAATGGGTACAAGTCAATCCTGAGAAGATTCCGGTTGGACACGAGAGGGAAATTTTTCACCATGCGAACAGTCACCCATTGGAATAATCTCCCCAGGGGAGGGGTTGACTCCGCCACATTGGACACTTTCAAGCCTCAGCTGGACAGGGTGCTGGCCCATCTTGTCTAGACTGGGCTCTTGCCCAGAAAGGTTGGACCAGATGATCATTGAGGTACCTTCCAACCTGGGATTCTATGATTCTATGATTTTGTGATGATTGAACCCTGCCCATCATGTAGATGGGGAAGCCAAGTGGCTACGTGCATCCCAGTCTGCCCATGTGGCATCTGACCCCATGCCAAGGGGTAACTGCGCATCCCTCACCTTCCACCCTGACATCCAAGGTTTCGCTGCGAGCCAGCACAGTGCCTCCGTCCAGGTAATGGCAGCTGTAGGCAGCTGCGTCCTCTTGGGTGGCATTGGTGATGGAGAACTCAGCCTGGCTGCCATGCAGCTGCAGGGTGCGGATCTGCTGGCCATTCCTGTACAGCACGACGTTCCCATTATCCCGCTGGCAACTGCAGCAGATGGTGGTGGAGCCTCCTGGTGCAATCACCCCTGGTGGCTTCTGGAAGATGAAGATTGCAGGGGCACCTGTGCAGGGAGAGGGATGCTGCCAGCCAGCCAGGGAGCCCCCAGCGCCCCGCTGCCCTGCCGTAAACCTGGAGCTGGCTCCAGGCCCCACCTCCACACAAGGGTGAATTTTGTTCTGTGGGGCTGGGGAAGGGCCTGGGGGGAGGAGCGGGGCCCAGAGCTGTGTCCAACCCCCCCGTCTACCTCCTGGTGGTACTCACTTGGTGCAGCCTTGCTCTGTGCCACCAGCCAAGCACCTACAAGAGAAACAGCCCTGTAACATCTTGTGGTTTAGGCCTGCAGGCAGCTAAACACGACACAGCTCCCCGCCCCCTGCAGCGGGAGGGGGAAGAGAATCAGAAAAAAAAAAGAAAAGGAAACAAAAAGTAAAATCTGTGTATTGAGAAAAATAATAGGGAAGAGAAAATAATAATAAAAATATCCAAAACAAGCAATGCACAATGCGATTGCTCACCACCTGCCGACCCATGCCCATCCCATCCCCGAGCAGCAATCGCTGTCCCCGGCCAACTCCCCCCAGTTTCTATACTGGTCTGGAATAGCCCTTGGGCCAATTGGAGTCGGCTGTCCCAGCTCTCTGCCCCCTCCCAGCTCCTCGTTGGCACTACATAGCAACATTTAAACCTCAACCATCGGGGTGTTACCACCACTGTTATACCATATCCAAAACACAACCCGACTTCAGCTACTAGGAAAAAAAAAGAATTAACCCTATCCCTGCCAAACCCAGGATACATCTCTGTGGAGCCTCCAAACGCCTCCTGTCCCCCTCTGGGAGCCCACACAGCCTCCAGCACTCACCAAGGGCCAGCACATGGGCCACAGGCAGTGTCACAGGCAGCATCATGGCCTTCTGGGCTCTCTCCGACCTCGGTTCAAGCAGGGCTTCTTCAGAGGAAGGCGTTGTCCAGACACCGAGCAGCTGGGTGCTTTCTTCTGGGTCCTGGCACGCCCTTGTTACCACAAGCCACCTTCTGTCCCACACCTTGGGTTTCTGCAAACACAATTGCAGGGCTGGGATGCCTGAACTGGAACCAGAATGTCCCCGTCATCTGCCCAGGGCTGGACATCTGTGATGACCTGGCCTTAGGATCCTGTGGACCTTGGGAGAGAAGCTGTCAGCGCTTTCATTTCTCCTTCTTGTCTCTGGTCACTTGATGGGGAAATGGCTTCCTCTCAGCCCTTGCGAAATAGGGTGATGTTCTGCAGCCAGGATGGGGAGGAGAGACAGCACAGGGCTCTGACTCTAGGTGCAAAAGCTCCAGCAAGAAGCAGTGTCATGAAATAGGTGGTTTAATGAGACAGAATAGAAAGGGCACTAGAGACAGCAAGTAAGTCTTGCATCCCATCAGAGGCAAGGCACTCCGCTTCCCCGCAGCACCGGTGGACCCCAGGTAGATCCTTCCTGTGGCGTGCTGCGCAAATGCATCTGTGGAGATGTACCCGGCACCTGATGGGTCATCAGATTTACTTGTGATCTGTATTCCTCTTTTTTATTCTCTGCCAGTAAACCAGATGTTTTATTACCCCATTTGCTGCCAGACCTCTCTCACCAGGGTCCAGGAAGACCACATTGGGCCCCCTGTCGGGCCCAGCAGCCCTGCACAGTGCCCCCCGCTGCAGCGCAGACCAGGTGGCAGAGGGGGAAGGACATGGGGTCCAGCTGAAGGCTGTGTCCAGGCACACCTTCCCCACAGCTGCGGGGTGGGTTGGATGGCTCCACAGGGTGGAACAGGGGGGAAGTAACTTGGCTTCCCCCCTGGGCCTCATCAGGGGCTGTTTTTCCCCACCTGGCCTTATGGTGGGCCATATCACACTGGAGGAGGGCTGGCAATATTTCCGACCTGTAGGTCTGGGTCCACCCCACGGGACTGGCCCCGTTCCTCATCTGTCCAGGCCTCCCCAGCCCTGTGCTGGAACAGCGGCAAGGTCCTGGCTCCAAATAACTGCTCGCTTCCACCACTCCTGGAGCCCGGCCTCCACCCTCAGCCACATCTAGCCTGGGTGGCCAGTGGTGTAGCTGGAGCTCCCTTTGGCAATAACAAAGGGTTAATTAAACAGGGGAAGTTGCTTGCACCTGCGGGTGATGTAGGGGTGAGGAGAGCAGGGAAAGGATGGGTTGTGGGACTGGAGCTGACAGAAGGAAGGTGGCGAGGAGGCTTCCCTGAAGAGCTGTCCCACTGCATGCCCTGATGTCCTATGCTCACCCAAGGCAGCATGTCCCTACAGGTGGTCTTATCATCACATATTCCAAGTGGTCTCCATGTCTTTGTGGTCTTCATACAGTCTATGTGGTCTGTAAGTCCATGTAACCTTAGTACAGTCTATGCAGTCCATGTGGCCTAAATTGGTCTCACATGGCCCATACAGCAGCAAGTGATCTCCACATGGTCCCCATGATCCATTTGATACAGTCCCTTCATCCAGGACAGTTCAGATGATTCTGAAGGCCAGTCATAGGCAGGATACCAAAAGCTACCCCCCTGGGGTCCCCATCCCTCCCAGCCTTGTGCTTAGCACTGATGTCCCTCTGTAACCTCTCCCCAGGGGATCTGTGGATGCTCACTGGCTGTGGATGCCTGAACAGCCACCCCCCCTGTAGTGAGATGGTCAGAGACAGAGGGAGGGAGGGAGGGAGGGATGAGAGATCCTGGTCTGACACAGTTGCCCTTCACAAATGCACATCCTGGTCCCACATCTTCCTGGATGCGCGTTTGGCTCCCACAAGTTGCCCCCAGACACATTGCGGTCCCTCCCCACCCTTGACATGCATATTGTCCCATGTTTCCCACCTGAGCACAGGTCCTGGTCCTACCTCACCCCAGAAGCCACTATGGATGGCCATGTATCCAGCTCTGCCCCCAGCTGAGTCCACATGGACCCATATGATCCTTGCTGGCCCCAGGCCTCACCAGGCCCTCTGTCCCTGACTACCCTTGGGCTCAGGAACTCTGCAGGACAGGGATAGCCCATGTCCTTTGCTTATGTCCTGGAGATGCCTCTCTCAATGCCCTTCAGGTCCTCATATCCTCCCATTCCCTCTGTCCCCACACAGTTCTTGTGACTGGGGGATGTCCTCAGCTGCCTGTCCATGGGGACATACCACACGGGATCTACCAGGTCCACCAGGCAGGGACATCACCAAGAGGTGACCTTTTTGAAGGAGTCAGGTGGGCTCATGCTCATCCAGGGTCTCCTTTTGACCAGGGGCAAGGGGAGTTGGAAGAGACCTGCTGAGCCTTCCCTCTCATCAATCCCACCACAGCCCTTCAGCCCATGGCCATGTCCCCATGGCCCCTCCACCCCACAGCAACCCCATCCCACAGACATGTCCCAAAGTCCCCCCGTTCCCCATAACTATGTCCCACGTGTACCCACCACCCCATATACATGCTCCACATCCTCCCTACCCCATTTCCATGTCTCCACGTTCCCTCCACTCTGCTGCCATGTCCTCCATGTCCCCACCATATAGCCACATCCCAGCATCCCATGACCCCACAGCTATGTCTCTATGACCCCACGTGCCATAGCGATGTGCCCCTGCTCACAGCAATCCCACCTCATAGCTATGTCCCATGGAACTTCATCACCCCAAAGCTATATACCCATGGCTCCCACCCCATTGCCATGGCCCCAAGGTCACCTGCCCCATAGCCATATATCCCCATGGTCCTCGCCCCACTGCCATACCCCAATGGGCCCCATCCCACTGCCATGGTCTTGCAGGCCCTGCCTCATAGCCATATCCCTGTGGCCCCTGCCCCATAGCCACGGCCCCAAGGCCCTTGCCCTGTGGCCATGGCTCCACGACCCCAGCCCTGTAGCTGTGGGGCTACGGTACTCTGCCCCATAGCCATATGCTCACATGTCTCTGACCCATTGTCATACTGCAGGGGCTCCATCCCTGTACCTGTATCCCCATGCCCTCGTCCTGCCCCATTGCCACGGTCC